TACCACCAACATCCTGTACGACACCAACATCAGACCCAACATCCCACCAACATCACTGTACCATCACCATCACTATACCACCACCATCACTGTACCACCAACATCACTATACCACCAACATCACTGTACCACCAACATCACTGTACCACCAACATCACTGTACCACCAACATCACTGTAACACCAACATCACTGTACCACCAACATCACTGTACCATCACCATCACTGTACCACCAACATCACTGTACCACCAACATCACTGTACCAACATCACTGCCACATCATTACCACCAAAACAAACCCACACACAAACCAACATACTCCCAGCCATCACCATCACTGCCTCCCAGCTAGAATTGAGGACATACCACTCACTCCGTCAACGAATGAGACGACAGTGGTGTATCTTGTTCAGCGCCTCTTGACATTTTAATAGCACTTCAGTTTGCCATTGATCCTTAGCTACAAAACTGCTCTCCAATCTCCTTTCCACTCCAGACCTCGGCTTCTATGATTCTTTTTTATTCCATCCGATCGCAGAGGATTTTCAGGAGAGGTTTTAACTCACATCATTCTATCATTTCCGGGGTTCCTCTGGGTGCCGCGTTAGCTCCATTTAAGTTTTTTCTTGGATATTAGTGATCTTCTCTGAGTAACAAAACGACCCGGTACACTTTCTATAAAGATGATTCAACCTTCCGTAGATTTTTCCATATGCCTCACTCACACAGGGAAGATATTGCACGCACAGTTGAATGAGATGTATGAAACATGATTTTTCTGCAACGTCTTTTAACAAATACTTAACTGTTCGTAACGTGAGTATACATAATGTAAACAGATTTTTTACAACACCGTTATCTCACCTCCTTGAATCTGTCCAGGAAAGAGCCATCAAAACAATCAACAACAGTGACCTAAGCAAAAAGTCTCCAACACTGCACATTCTCATAGTCATCCTCCGACTTCTGCTGTTATGCAAACTCGCTCTAAAAGTATCTCTATGGAGGGGTCCGATGGATTTCAAAATAAACTCTGTGAATCCTGTTGTCTCGGTAGGGTTGTCAAAATCCTTAGTCCGTTGTGTCATATTGTCTAACACAAAATAGTAAAGGTACTTTTTGGAGCATGTTACATACTTCTACAGTCACTCAGTAATACCACCACGTCCCATCCACCATTGGCCTACGACAGCATCTGAAAGGGGGAACGCCAGCCTCTGCTCTCAGTATTTCATCTTACAAGAACTACCACTACGTAATTAACTATTTTCAAAACAAACAACAATACATCCAACTTCAAATATCTGTAGTCTGTAGTAAGGTTATGGTATGATATGAATAAATCTAATTATTCTAAAAAGAAACATATGTAAATTTATCCCACAATTTATACAAAACAAAAATAGAAACATTGTCTCCCTCCATCACCTGTTCCCAGCCGGTGGAGGTGTGGAAATACTCCCAGGGCTGCCGTCTTAAAAGGCACTTAAAAAACTGTAATATATATGTAAATAACAGCTTGGTAGGATACAGCAGTGATCTTGTTGCCTCGGGGTGAAAGCCTGGCTTACCATCACCATCATCCCCCAAGTAATAACTGGTGGATGACGCTGTTGATATACCCTGGTGGATGATGCTGTGTTGAAATACCCTGGTGGATGATACTTTGTATTGATAAGGTGGATGAGAGGCTACACCTGATGGATGAGAGGCTACACCAGATTGATGAGAGGCTACACCTGATGGATGAGAGACTACACTTGATGGATGAGAGACTACACCTGATGGATGAGACTACAGCCGGTGGATAAAGGTGATCAGAACACTCTATGGAGGTCAGGGCCACGGGAAGACCTCGTTAAATGGTACTATAAGTTGGTCACAGAATCGTCCTCCAGAGTCCAACAACACTTAACTTTTGTCTCAATCTGTGTCGACCTCTCCCTGGGACTACCGAGACCCGGAACTATTGATACAAAGAACTATTGAGACCCGGAACTATTGAGACACATAACAATAGAACCGGAACTACGGATACGCGGAACTATTGAAACCCGGAACTATTGAGACACATAACTATTGAGAACCGGAACTACGGATACGCGGAACTATTGAGACCCACAACTCTTGATACGCGGAACTATTGAGACCCGGAACTATTGAAACATAACTATTGAGACCCGGAACTATTGAGACACATAACTACTGAGACTACTGAGACCCGGAACTATTGAGACACTAGACCGATTCACCAAGTACCTAACTAAACATAAGAATCCACGATACCTTAGATGAAGCAAAATTTCAACAATAAATCAATTAATCCTTCAAATGAAATCCAGCCTTGACTCTCTTACACACACACACACACACACACACACACACACACACACACAGAAACTCATCCCATTAAAATAATCGACAGCAAAAGTCAGCAAAATATCAGGAAAGGTCACAGTTTTAATCTTTATCTAAGCCGGAGTTAACCCTCGAATAAAAGTGGTGGGGTTTTGAGCCATAACCGAGGGTGGTAGTGCTGAGATACACGCCCTAACAAGCGATCCACACACACACACACACTGATCTCTTTTCCCTGGTCATTAAGGTCTAACAAGTTCAGGTGGTAATTGTTTTGGGGCGGCCTGACACCTGCTCCCAACCCTCTTAAGAGTGGCGGAGAAGCTAAGGTAATTCTGATTGATGATGATGATGATAAAACTACAACTACTACTACTACTACTATTACTACTATTTTTTTAAGAAAACGTGGCCTCAAGCCTCCCCCAATAGCCACACCTTCGCCGCCATTTTATTACCTTAATATTAAATATCCTAATAAATAAGTAGCTATCTTAGCTGTGTTGAATTAGTTGTGCCGCAGATCTATGCGGCATTCAGTGACTGTAGCCTCATAGTCAATATCTGCAACTGTTATTGGTTTTGGGGCCAACTCGTTCCCCTGAGACAGCAAAGCCGCGGCGAAAGAGAGAAGGACAGTCGACATATCATCCAGGCTGTAACATAACTTCTGGGCTTTGCTTCTGTCCGGAGATCACCTGACCAGTGACCTTACCTCACCATAAGAAAAGACTACCCCAGAAAGTTAAAATTAAAGGCCATTACTTTCATCACAACTACAATTTCCTTACAATTCAAATCATAACATACTTCAGTCTTAAAAGCAAGAAGGAATTATCTCCAAACTTCATAATCCAAAAAACAAAAACATTTCTTTCCTCAAAACAAAAAACAAAAGAAATTCCCACAAACTTTTTTTTCACGTCCACGAAATATCTTTCCAAGAATCTGAAACAAACACATAATCTGTTTCACTCGCGACGACAATAACAACCCCTTCACTTCCCATCACCCAGCCCTTCCCAGAGTCAAAAAAATAGACCCCATCCTACACGACCACAAGTTATAAGACCCCTTCACTTCCCTTTATACAACCCTTCGAGGAGTCGCAAAAATAGACCCCTTCCTCACCAAAGACAAAACAAGAACTCCCCTTCACTTCCCACCACCCAGCCCTTCTAAGTCACAAAAATAGACCCCATCCTACACGACCATAAGGCCCCTTCACTCCCTTCACCCTGCCCTTCAGTTACAATATAAAACTGACCTCCTCCTACACGACCACCAAGTCACTTCATCGATATTCATATGATGACACTTGATTTCCTCTCCAAAATGCGGATAAATATTCACACGTTTTCTCTCCAAGGTAATGACCATGTTAGAGGTAAGGAGAGAGAGAGAGAGAGAGAGAGAGAGAGAGAGAGAGAGAGAGAGAGATAATGAAGACGACTTCTCGAGATATGGACTGCCGTCGTTGACTTCTCATCTTCCTTTCTTAAGGAAGTCGAGTGGAAAATGATGATGACAATGACTCAGCAAAGATGATGATGATGACCATATGAATATTAACGTCTGTAGCGCGCGCACACACACACACACACACACACACACACACACACACACACACACACACACACACACACACACACACACACAGCCATTCAGTATTCAGCACGGTGGCACTTCTAGACCCTTTAAAATGAACCATGTTAGGTAATGGCCCGATTAAGCTATAACGCGCAATGGAGTCCTTTGCCAAATAGAGATGACTTCATTTTTATTACTATAACTCCCTGGGAATGACTCCTTACAGCACTGAACTGACTCTTCTTTTTCCTCTGCACTAATATAGCCTTTCCTGTCTTAACGATACTAAAACGTTTAATTTAATCTATCCATCTTTATTTTGGTTCGTTTAAGTTACATTAGGTTTGGTTAATCTATAGGTTAAAGAGAGGATTAAGTAGACAGTTAGGTTAGGTTATGTAGACTTAACCCAACCAAAGTGATCTTACTTAATAGCACGCCATACAGATCTTGTTGTCCCGGAGTCAACAACAGAGGAGGAAGTAAGGGTTCTGGTCACCCGTGTTTACAATAGTCTTCCCACAGTCACACATGAGAAAGACAGAGTTGGTATATAATATTTCAATGTCACATAATACCAGATACATATACATTTGTTTTTAATAAATTGTCAGCTATATAATTTTGTCTAAGTATAAAACCAGGTATGTAAGTTTCTGAATTTATTAGATACAGTATACAGTGGATAGGGGTGTACAGTATAAAGAGTTGTCATACCCTACCTTCCCTGCCATATTCTCCCTTCCCTGCCATATTCTCCCTTCCCTGTCACATCCTCCTTTCCCTGTCACATCCTCCTTTCCCTGCCACACCTTCTCTTCCCTGCCACACCCTCCTTTCCCCGTCACATCCTCCTTTCCCTACCACATCTTCCCTCTCTGCAACACCCTCCCTCCTCTGCCCACCCTCCCTCCCCTGCCACACCCTCCCTTTGCCGTGGTGATGTGTGGGATGAGGAATGACGTGTGAATTAGCTTCCTAGAATAACACCAATTCCAAGTAAGTGTCGATAAATCCTAAGACTCATAAACCAAAATTAAATTACTATACCTGGTGGATCTCTCTCTTAATTGAAGCTCCGTATCACCACGCCATCTCACCTGTAAAAAAAATTCGAATTCGTCATTAAGAATCAGCCCGTAGAGCCTATAAGACACACAGTCACACAACACATAGAATTGAAGAAGTAAAAATAATTTCTAGTCTAGGACGGTGGTCTCTATGAAGAAATGGCTATTTTTAACCCAGGATGAAGGTCCCAGAGGGGGGGTCAATTAGCAAAGTGGTGTGTGGGATGAGGGGTGACGCGTGGTGGTGTGTGTGGTGATGAGGGGTGACGTGTGGTGATGAGGGGTGACGCGTGGTGGTGTGTGTGGTGATGTGGTGACGCGTGGTGGTGGTGTGCTGATGTGATGACGTGTGGTGGTGTGGTGGTGTGTGTGTGGTGATGTGTGGTGGTGTGTGGGATGAAAGATGAAGTATAGTTACCATCTACTCTCCACCATCTACCATCTACTCTCCACCATCTACCATCTACTCTCCACCATATCTCTGACCATTACGATAACATTGTCTCTATAGGGAATCTGCATCACTCCGCCTGGTCCTATGGTCGTAGGAGGCGTGGGTTGAGGTCGTGGGAGGGCGTGTCAGTGATGCATATTATCGACTGAGGGCGTGGTTTTAGGGCGTGGATTGTTGTATAATGGCGTGGGTTGTTGTCTAGGACGTGGGTTGTTTAGGGCGTGGGTTGTTGCTTAGGAGCGTGGGTTGTTGTTGTTTGGGCGTGGGTTGTTGCTTAGGGCGTGGGTTGTTGTTGTTTAGGGCGTGGGTTGTAGTCTAGAGCGTGGGTTGTAGTCTAGGGCGTGGGTTATTGTTTAGGGCGTGGGTTGTTGTTAAGTGACGTGGGTTGTTGTCTGTCGAAGGCGTGGGTTGTTGTTTAGGGCGTGGGTTAAGTGGCGTGGGTTGTTTTCTAGCGGCGTGGGTTGTTTCTAGCGGCGTGGGTTTGTCTAGTGGCGTGGGTTGTTGGCGTGGGTTGTTGTCGAGAGGCGTGGGTTGTTGTTTAGGGCGGCGGGTTATTGTTTAGGGCGTGGGTTATTGTTTAGGGGCGTGGGTTGTTGTCTAATGGCGTGGGTTGTTATCAAAGGCGTGGGTTGTTATCGAAGGCGTGGGTTGTCGAGAGGTGGTTGTTGTTTAGGAGCGTGGGTTGTTGTTAAAGTGGCGTGGGTTTGTTGTATAGGGGCGCAGGTTGTTATCTAGAGTCGTGGGTTGTTGTCTGGCGGGTTGTTGTCTAGGGGCGTGGGTTGTTGTCTGGGGCGTGGTTGTTGTCTAGAGGCGTGGTTGTTGTCTAGAGGCGTGGGTTGTTGTCTAAGGCGTGGGTTGTTGTCTGGGGTGGGTTGTTGTCTAAAGGCGTGGGTTGTTGTCTAGAGTCGTGGGTTGTTGTCTAGAGGCGTGGGTTGTTGTCTAGGGGCGTGGGTTGTTGTCTCGAGGCGTGGGTTGCCGTCTAGAGGCGTGGTTGTCGTCTAGAGGCGTGGGTTGTCGTCTAGAGGCGTGGGTTGTCGTCTAGAGGCGTGGGTTGTTGTCTAGGGGCGTGGGTTGTTTGTCGAGGCGTGGGTTTGCCGTCTAGGAGGCGTGGGTTGTCGTCTAGAGGCGTGGGTTGTTGTCTAGGAGGCGTGGGGTTGTCGTCTAGAGGCGTGGGTTGTTGTCTAGGGGCGTGGGTTGTTGTCTAGTGGCGTGGGTTGTTGTCTAGAGGCGTGGGTTGTCGTCCAGAGGCGTGGGTTGTTGTCTAGGGGCGTGGGTTGTTGTCTAGGGGCGTGGGTTGTTGTCTAGAGGCGTGGGTTGTCGTCTAGAGGCGGGTTGTCGTCTAGGGGCGTGGTTTGTCTAGTGGCGTGGGTTGTTGTCTAGAGGCGTGGGTCGTTGTCTAGAGGCGTGAATTGTCGTCTAGAGGCGTGGGTTGTTGTCTAGGGGCGTGGGTTGTTGTCTAGAGGCGTGGGTTGTTGTCTAGGGGCGTGGGTTGTTGTCTAGTGGCGTGGGTTGTTGTCTAGAGGCGTGGGTTGTCGTCTAGGGCGTGGGTTGTTGTCTAGTGGCATGGGTTGTTGTCTAGAGGCATGGGTCGTTGTCTAGAGGCGTGAGTTGTCGTCTAGAGGCGTGGGTTGTTGTCGGGCGGGTTGTTGTCTAGTGGCGTGGGTTGTTGTCTAGAGGCGTGGTTGTCGTCTAGAGGCATGGGTTGTTGTCAAGGGGCGTGGGTTGTTGTCTAGTGGCGTGGGTTGTCGTCTCAGAGGCGTGGGTTGTTGTCTAGAGGCGTGGGTTGTTGTCTAGGGGCGTGGGTTGTTGTCTAGAGGCGTGGGTTGTCGTCTAGAGGCATGGGTTGTTGTCTAGTGGCGTGGGTTGTCGTCTAGAGGCATGGGTTGTTGTCTAGGGGCGTGGGTTGTTATCAAGGGGCGTGGGTTGTTGTCTAATGGCGTGGGTTGTTGCAATATCTTGTTTCTGCAATATTTCTCTTGCAGCAATATCTCACCTTCTGCAATATATCCCTTTATGTATTATATGCCAACGCAATAACTTTCCTTCTGTAATATCTCTTACGCTGCAACATCTATCTTGCTGCAATATCTCTCTACCTGCAATATCTCTACCTTAGGATAGATAAAGCCATTCTTCCTATCTTCTTCACGTAAGGACAAAATTTTAATATACATAAGATCCAATTTATAATTTTTTAAGCTGTGCAAAATCTCACCAGTCAATTTCCACTGAAGAAAATTTCATCGGTCAATTTCCTACCAAAGATAAATTATCGAACTCAATTTTCCCACCGAAGAAAATCTCACCACAATAGTGAAAATAAAGTTAAACTAACACCAACCAGCTCAAACTTGTTAAAGAGTCGTAATACACCGTTAGAGCTGTACCAGATGGAGATTTTGTCCTGGAGTCGTGCAAGTGATTTTGCTATCATAACTTTTGTATCAACGCGCACACACACACACACACACACACACACACACACACACACACACACACACGCACGCACACGACCCACAACATATGAACTAAAACGAGAAAAAAAAAACACTCGTCAAAAAGGAAATCTTCCCCCATTTTAGGAATCCACTCAAACCTGTCGCAATTTTGGTAAATTTCTATAAAGCTTGTCTTTTATGGGAGAGAGGAACAAAATGTGACACGTTCCAAGTAATTTCCTCTCCGGGCGCTGCTGTGGAGTCCAAAAATCCAGAATTCAATTTCGTGATGTCGTCTGGATTACCCGGCCTGTGAGATTGACTCGGGTGGGATATTGCCTTGTACGCCACTTCTTGTCCTCCACTTGACTCACGCGTATAAATGGACCTTAATATACATTCTTTATATAAATCTTACCTTCCTGTACCATCTGTCCTTTAAGCTTCAACTTTTATATATTTTTAGAATAAGTTTTCTTATAAAAAATTGACACAACTGATTTTTCAATATTATCACATGTCCTGATTTTATTTCGTTGCTGTTAAACTGTAAGTATGTTTTACTCTTCTGATTCTTTTATTATCTATATTTCTTCTTATCGTCAGTCCTTCACCCTTCAAAGCTTCTACCCCATCTATGTTATAGCTTCTTCTTCTTCTTCTTCGTCTTCTTCTTCTTCTTCTTCTTCATCTTCTTCTTCTTCTTCTTCTTCTTCTTCTTTGCGGTTAAAGTTTTACTGTTTATCTATTTTTACTTTAATGGGAAAGCCAGAAGAAAGATCTTTACCCTTATGGACAATTTTACGTAAGACTCGCCATCTCTCTCTCTCTCTCTCTCTCTCTCTCTCTCTCTCTCTCTCTCTATTTCTCATATCAGTAATTTGGACGTAAGAAAATACCTGTATTCTGTAATGTCCTCCGATAACTGTTATATCTTCCGATCACCGAAAACTCCTCTGATCACTCACTGTAAATTCTTCCGATCACTGTAAATTCCTCCGATCACTGTAAACTCCTCTGATCACTGTAAAGTCCTCTGATCACCGTAAACTCCCCTGATCACCGTAAACTCCTCTGATCACTGTAAACTCCTCTGATCACTGTAAAGTCCTCTGATCACTGTAAACTCCTCTGATCACTGCCAAGCTCCTCCAGTCTGCCGTAAACTCCCTCCAATTCAACATGGCTCTCCAGTCTGTAACTCTCTGATCACTGTAAACTCCTCTGATCACTGTAAACTCCTCTGATCACCGTAAACTCCTCTGATCACTGTAAACGCCTCTGATCACCGTAAACTCCTCTGATCACTGTAAACTCCTCTGATCACTGAAAAAGCCACATATCACAGGCAAGTTCTTTGACCACCATAAAATTTTCCCATCTCGAGGTTTTATTCACGAGTTACCAGCCGGACGCCGTGGTGAGTCTCTGATTGCTACTCACTTTAGGTCTAGATCAATATTAAGCCTGAGTGAGGATGTTTACCTCGTTACCCGCTCCCAGACAACAACACCGCCGCCGCCCTCCACGTACTGAGGGACACAACATAGTAAGAGGGACGAAACTTAATGTATAGAGTGGGCGGAGGGTGGGTGGTGAATGGGGGATGTGGGTGGCTGTGTGGGTGTGGTTGAGTGAGTGTAGTAAGGTGGATGAGTGTGTATGTGTGTGTGTGTGTGCAGGTTTAAATATAAGTAATTTCCTTTTTACCACCCACACACACACACACACACACACACACACATTCACCCAAAACAAAACTGAGCTTTATATATATATATATATAAATATATATATATATATATATATATATATATATATATATATATATATATATATATATACAAGAGAAATAAGCAGAGAAGGTATGGCCGCCACTCACCATAAACATTGCCCTCAAAAAGTGAACAGAAATCACAGCAGATCTACAGACCCCTGACCTGTTTGTTGGCGACGCTGCGAGGTGGGATGATGCGTCATCTTCCCTCTCTCTAGTCTGCCTCTCTTTTCATCTCAAGTTTGGTCCCATATGCTCCCCCGTCTCTCTCTCTCTCTCTCTCTCTCTCTCTCTCTCTCTCTGCAAATACCCATTCCTCCCTCCTTCATCTTAAATCCGACACTGATTTCTGTCGGATGGTTT